CCAGTTGCAGTGTGAGGGGGGTTGGAGCACTGGGAAATATACGTCCCAGTTGCAGTGTGAGGGGGGGTTGGAGCACTGGGAAATATACATCCCAGCTGCAGCATGAGGGGGTGGGAGCACTGGAAAATATATACGTCCCAGTAGCAGTGAAAGGGTTAAAACCTTTATAAAGCTGTGTAAGAATTATCGATACAACTTACAGAACTTCAACTTAAGCTGTCTTGTTTTAGGAATATCGGTGTAGAACTAGAGGGTTTATGGGTAGTTGCTCATCTTATAACGTTGTGAAGTTTTTATTTATTCTCTCAGTTACATCAGTCAAACAGTAAACAAGAATGTTGTGTCACTTATTTCTCTGGTGTCAGAATCGTACTATAAATATTTCTCATTGATATTGAATGAGGAAAGACAGCTAGAGCATGAGCAAAATTAATGAGATATTAAGGACTGTGAAACAGATTTTGTTGCACATGTCTGTGGGGTGTAATATGGCTAATATCCTAGAGTATATAGGCTCCTTTGTTTATTACTAATTATTGCTTGGTTTCTTTGTGATATAATACAGGTTTGTTTGTGTTTTATTAGGGGGGGGGAGTACTACCTCTAACTATTTTCTGTGTTTTTTTGTAGTATATAACTTCATTTTATTTGGTAATATATTTCTACTAGTTTCATAGTTTTACAATTCTAAGGAGTGTAATATTATTTTATAAGTAGAGCTGTTTCACGTTATATATTTTTATCTTGAAAAACGTTAGATTGATTAATGTTTCATATACTAGGTTCTGGGAAGATGTAGAAGAAATGAAACAAGCTGATAAGGTAAATATTACTTGTTTTGTTGAAGAGTTTCTAAACATTAAGTTACTTTTTAAAACTGTCAGTAAAATTAGTAATTATTAAAACAAGCCTCACTTGTTTTTACATGTTAGATATTTATATCCCTCTGTCAGTAAAATTAGTAATTATTGAAACAAGACTCACTTGTTTTTACATATTAGATATTTATATCCCTCTGTCAGTAAAATTAGGAGTTATTGAAACAAGCCTCACTTGTTTTTACAAGTTAGATATTTGTATCCCTTTGGTTAAAATACATTCTGAACAGTTTCTTATTGTCAAAAATTTGCTGTACCACAACCTCCTTGAACTGATGTATTATGTTTATGAGCTACGAGTTATGTGCATATCAAAAAGTAAAAGATTAAACCTAGACATGTTTAATGTATAATTAATGTTAACGACTAAAGAAAAAATGTTAAATGATGTACATTTTGTTTTATACATTCTAAATGTTTTTAGAAGTAAATCTGTATGTTAAGTACAAAAAAACTATATTTTGTACCATTAATAGCTACGGAAGATTGCTGTGTAAGTGACTTATAGGGCTGTGGATTACTTTTTTATGTTATTTTGTTTAGACATTCTGGCATCAGTTTGGAAATGAAATCTACCAGTTGTACGTAAACAATGTTACTGCTAATGTCAAGCTTTCTAAAAACATTCTCAAGGGCATGGAAGCTTTTATGATGGCTAACAAGGTATATCTTTCACTTCTTATAACCTAGGCCTAAAAAATTAGTTTTTGGTTTTTATATATTTACATAAGTTTAACTTAAATGATTACATTAGTTATAAACAGTTTGGAAATAATTTCATAGGGTTTCCATGTTTCATATTCAGAGATTGGATAGAGTAAATCATTATTTTGACTTGCAGTCAAATTTAAAGTATTTTTATCAGAATCCATAAACTTTCTAATACAGGGCCCAGAAGCATTTTTCCAGGCACAGGAAGAAGTGTACGTGAAGTTAGAGGAACGTTTTTATCACTCTTTTCTTGTCAGCGATCTTTACAATAGGATGCTTGCACAAGCTGAAAAAGAAGGCATTGACTTCTCTCAGTGTCCGGAAGGTAAGAGAATAACTTTGTGATAAAGGAACATGATATCGTGCATAGCAGTAGCGAAGAATCATAGTAAACTGTCAGAAGTCTTGGTAATGGAGAAACTAATGTTGCCTTCTGAATATCAAGACTTCTGATGCCTTGTTCCATTTACTGTGGTTTTTAATTGAAAAAAGCTTTGTTTTAATCAAGATTGCTTTACTGTTTCCTTGGTATGTGTGCATCATTCATAAAGCACATACCAATAACAAAATCTGTTATTATCTTTACACTATAACTACATCACACATAAACAAATGCCGAAGACAGAGGACTAGTAACAACTGATATCGTTTAGGAAAACATTTTGTGGATCTGTATGAAATCTAACTTTCACTGTGTTAAAGTTGATGAACTTAGCTGGAGTGTATTTGTGTTTGTTAGGGTTAACAGTTTATGAGCTTGTTTTAAAGTATAGCTTATTTTGGGTTAACAATGTATGTACTTAGCTGAATATGGGTGAAAAATATGTGAAATTATCTGAAATATAATGTTTGTTAGAATATAAATGTTAATGGACTTGACTTAAGTTTAGTTATTGTTGGGTTATCATATAGACTTGTGTGAAGTGTAACATTTGTTAGGGTTAACAGATAATGAGCTTGTTTGAAGTGTAGCTTTTGTTATAACACATTATGACCTAGTTATGTGTGTACTTCTTGTTAGGATTAACAAGTTATGAGCTTGTCTGAAGTAAAACATTTGTTAAGGTAACAGATCATGAAGTCTGAAATGTAGCTTTTGCTAGACTAACATATATGTTTAGCTCTTGTTAAGGTTAACAAATTATGTAATAATTATGAGATTTGTATGATAACCTACATTGAAACATGATTGTTGAGAACTTGAGATATTTAAATCAAATTTTTAGGAATTTTTTAACCTAAAAACTAGATTCTGTGTTGAAAGTTTTCATGCAATTTAATCAAGCATTTTCTCTGAGAATGGTAAAGCAATGGGATATCAGTTAATACCCCCCTTTGGTCCTGAAAAGATTGAAGTGTGCATTACCTACTCTGTTAATACCATTTGTTTGTTAAACTGTATAACATTGTTGCTTATTGTTGACTGTGAAATCATGGAACCCAAAGTTCTTATTTTGTTATGAATAATAGGAAATTAATTGCTGTTATTTTTTCATTATATAAATTAATATTTAGATTTTAAATTTGTGTAAGCAACATTAGGATGAGTAACTTAATGTCTGATTACAAGAACCCAGTGATTCGCATGAGGATCAGGATTCCAAAAACTCCCAGCGTTGTGGGTCCACTGGTGAAGATCTTTCCTTGTCAGATTATTCAAACTGTGCTAAAGCTCAAATGCAACAGCTTGATGAGAAGTTATTAAACAAGACTCAAGCTCTACAGGCTTTACGAAGCACACCAAAGTCAGACCCAAAGGTAAGCTGTGTGTCTGCATAACATGGATTTAGTAAGAAGTGATTTTAATCAGTATTGGTGGAAATAAATACCCATCAGTTACAGCACCTCTTCGGGATGGATATAAACTTATTGAATACTTTGGTAGAATATACTAGAATATTTTGGTAGAAATCCATGGTTTAATTCAATTAACTTTATGCTAATTTTGTTCTTCACTTAGCGACTAGGACTTTTTTGAAGTCAAAATGAGTTGGTTTTGCTTCAGAGGTTACAGGTGTGTTCCTGTCTTGTATCTCTTAGTAAACTTTGTTAATTTTGATCTTTATGTAGCTACTAGCACTTTCTGAACTCAAAGCAAACTGGTTTTTTATACAAGGGTAACAAGTGTTATTCCTTCTTATACTATATCTCTTGGTAGGCCCAGCATGGCCATGTGATTAGGGCACTCGACTCACAATCTCGGGGTCGCAGGTTCGATTCCCCGTCCTGCCAAACATGCTCGCCCTTTCAACCGTCGTGTAGCTGGTGATGACTTTCACTGCTAAATTAGGGACTGCTAGCACAAATAGCCCTCGTGTAGCTTTGCACAAACTTCAAACAAACAAATAAATCTCTTGTTAAAAGAAAATGTTACATTTTAATCCTGACAATTCTATCTTCCTTCTTCAAAAATAGAAATGTATAGAGTACAACAGTAATGATTTGAATAGCCATTTACTTAAATTTTTATGTTAAGTTCAACACTATGTTGTAATGATCAGAATGTTTTAAACTGCTAAACTTTGGTTTAATTAGTTGTGAATACAAATCACCAGCAGGACAGTTGGATTTTCCTTGACTCTAATGAATATCTCGCCCCTGAGAGCCATCGTAATTCAGTGTATATTAAACTAAACTGAATGATGACCTCAAGGTCACTAGCCATCGTAATTCAGTGTATACTAAACTAAACTGAATGATGACCTGAAGGTCACTAGCCATCTTAGTTCAGTGTATACTAAACTAAACTGAATGACGACCTGAAGGTCACTAGCCATCTTAGTTCAGTGTATACTAAACTAAACTGAATGATGGCCTGAAGGTCACTGAGCACTTTATAATTAACTCTTGAATGCCTCGGTTCATTGACTTAAGGCAAGTATAATAAAGTTTGGTGTATTAGATTATTGAATGAAGATTTTACACACTTGAGCTGAACGTTTTATGTATTATGTAGTTTCTGTAAAATAAAAAAATATGGGAAATTTGTATGATTTGTCAGCCTTGGAAATTTTCTTTTAAAGAAATTATTAATTCTATCGTGCTTGGATGGTTATATCCCACCTTGAGCATAAAATAATGCCTAATGTAAATAAAGCCTAACTAATAATCTGTAAATCTGACTAAGCCTAACAGTTTGATCTTGTTCCTTGTCATAGGTCATCTTAGTTTATATGTGATGCAAACCCAGGTAAGCTGTGTTCTCAGTTACTTGGTAAAAATATCCCGAGACTGGTAAATAAATTATTTAATAAAGTATAACATCAAGTACATTAAAGGATGACTAATGATAACAAAATGCTACTTTAATATTCTAAAAATGCCTATTACGTGTTTTATGTGTTGTTGATCTATAGAGAACTTAATGTGCTCGTTGTTTACATTTAATGTTGTTTACATTGTTTAATGTGCTTTAATGTTTACATTTCTAGTAAACGTATGATTTACATTGTGTTTTATGTGTTATGTGTAGGGATTACACGTTTTAGATCAATACAAACACGTGTGTATGTGTTTTAAATTATGCTGACATTCATAGGGGGTTACGTGTGTTTTAGATGATGCTGATGTTAGAAAAAGAAATTGATGACATGAAAGCAGAACATCATCAATTAGAATGCCACATTGATCGAACAGAAACCTGGAGTGAAAACCTAGGGATGTGGCAGGCCACGTTAGATAAAGCTGAGGTAATCATCTGTACAGTAGTTTTACCTAGTCTAGTTTACCAGGGTAAAACCACTGTACACAGAACTTAGATGAAATTCATATATAATATATAATCTGGTAGACTAGACTAGATAAAACCACTGTACACAGAACTTAGAGGAAATTCATATATAATATGAAATTCATATATAATATATAATCTGGTAGACTAGACTACTAAGTTCTGTGTACAGTGGTTTTACCTAGTCTAATCTACCAGATTATATATTATATATGAATTTCCTCTAAGTTCTGTGTACAGTGGTTTTACCTAGTCTAGTCTACCAGATTGTATATTATATGAATTTCCTCTAAGTTCTGTGTACAGTGGTTTTACCTAGTCTAGTTTACCATATTATATATGAATTTCTTCTAAGTTCTGTCTAGTCTACCAGATTATATATTATATGAATTTCCTCTAAGTTCTGAATACAGTGGTTTTACCTAGTCTAGTCTACCAGATTGTATACTATGTATTATGTTGGATTGCTGGAACCAAATGATCGTTTTCAAATTGATTTTTGCTTATTTTAATATCTTACTATCAATTATTTTGTTCTAAAATGCACAACTGTGAAGAAGAGGATCAACTTATGAATGTTTAACAAGTGCAGTTAATAATCGTTGTATTCTCATAAAGAAATCTACACCATTAAACTTCAGATTCATATGAGATAGCTCACGATATTAGAAAAAGTTGTAAAATAATTTGTTTGTAAAAATAACTGATTGTTAAGGTACTTCTACAAGTTCTTGACAGTAAACATTGGAGTTAGTGTCTATGTACTTTCTTTAAGTTAGAGATTGTATGAGGTATCTTTTCTTTCAAAATTTAGATTTCCAAAGACTCTGAAAAACTCCTCCCACAATTTACCCTTCTCGTCCATCTCACAGGGGGACGAATTCCCCGGAAAGAACGGGGAATCTCGGGTTGGGTGGTGTTGCGGACTGTAGCAGATTTTCATTCTCTCCAGCAAAAGTTGGTTCCAGTAAGATTTTATTTTTCTTGTGACCCTAGTGCATGCGACAGAAATCAGGAATATTTATATCATGTTTGATCTTTGACTATTTTATTGAAAAGAATTCTTCCCCGCAGATCTGAAATAAAGGTCAATTTGACTCATAAAAAATGTATATTAGGATGACTTTTATTGTAACTAGGATGCATTAAAAGATTGTTATGATTACAAATATTATAATATGAATGAACTGGACCCTGATGGTATAAACTGTGTTAATTGTACAATCTTAATATCACTTATGTGATATATCTGTAAATTGGGGATTGAGTGTTAAAAAATTTACAGTTGTATTAATTTTTTGAAAAGTATATAAAATTAAAATACAAACTAGATGTTTGAGATTTGCATTTTGTAATTTGTAAAGACTGTGTGTTCACTGAAAACCATGAAAACGTTAGTATTGAAATATACTCCAGTACACTGTAATATTTTTGAACTTTTGCTGAAGTTTCTAGAATACACCATTTGAATAATGTTGAAAGTATTTATTTCTTTATTTTTAGGCTGCACCGTGGGTTAAAAAAATTGATCTTCCCAGTCAAAGTAAACCACGTTTCAAAACTTTTGACAAGGCTTACCTGGACAGAGCTAAAGCTTTGTTACAGAACTTTCTAACAGTAAGTGTTCTGTGTTTCTATAGTATCCCAGCTTCACTTGGTCATTACTGATTGTTCTGTGTTTCTATAGTATCCCAGCTTCACTCGATCATTATTCCTTGTTCTGTGTTTCTATAGTATCCCAGCTTCACTCGGTCATTATTCATTGTTCTGTTTTTCTCTAGTGTCCCAGCTTCACTCGGTCATTATTCATTGTTCTGTTTTTCTCTAGTATCCCAGCTTCACTCGGTCATTATTCCTTGTTCTGTGTTTCTGTAGTATCCCAGCTTCACTCGGTCATTATTCCTTGTTCTGTGTTTCTATAGTATCCCAGCTTCACTCGGTCATTATTTCTTGTTCTTTGTTTCTATAGTATACCAGCTTCACTTGGTCATTATTCCTTGTTCTTTGTTTCTATAGTATACCAGCTTCACTTGGTCATTATTCCTTGTTCTGTGTTTCTCTAGTATCGCAGCTTCACTTGGTCATTATTCCTTGTTCTGTGTTTCTCTAGTATCCCAGCTTCACTCGGTCATTATTCATTGTTCTGTGTTTCTATAGTATACCAGCTTCACTTGGTCATTATTCCTTGTTCTGTGTTTCTCTAGTATCCCAGCTTCACTCGGTCATTATTCATTGTTCTGTGTTTCTATAGTATACCAGCTTCACTTGGTCATTATTCCTTGTTCTGTGTTTCTCTAGTATCCCAGCTTCACTCGGTCATTATTCATTGTTCTGTGTTTCTATAGTATTCCAGCTTCA